CTTTCACACACACTCACACATATATATACACACACGTGTGAATGCATGCGCGCACACACACGCGCACTGACCGGACAGCGCGTGCCTGTAATCGGTAAATGGAAACGCCGGTGAGGAAATGGGTGTGTCCGCGCGGGAGGCGGGGATTGGAGGTGTGATTGACAGCTGAGGTGGACCAGTGTGAGCCGCGGGAAAATGAATGAATGTAATGAAGTTTTAATTAATTAAGATGAAGTTATTGATTGGAGTTGAATTAAACTGGATGTTATTTCATACATAAATATATTTAACTGAACTGTTAATGTTGATTTTGCATTAATGTCAGTTAATATTATCCACTACTATTAGATATTACAACTATTAATTACTTTAAGCGATTTCAACCATTTATATTACGTTTTTTTACATAACCATTTTACTGCTTTGATCTTCTATTTCAACCATAAAAACTTAATTTTTGTGTTCATTTTTATTAATATTTAAAGTGTTGGTAGCTCAGCTGCGTTATTAGTTAACTATTTTAACTATATTTCTAACTTTAGTTAACTTAAACTATTATTAGTCAACCATTTATCACTTTTAGATAATGAGCTCATCCATTACTTTTAGCTTACTGTTTTAACCATAAACCTGTCTGTCTGTCTGTCTGTCTGTCTCTCTCTCTCTGTGTCTTCACCTGTCTTATCTAATGAAGGGGATTTTGATTGAATTGCTGATTATTCCTTAATCAACCTAACCATAACCCTAACTTGGTATATAAAAGAAGCTTAAAATAATCAATTCACCATTCATCAAATCACAGGAGACAAAGAAAAAGCTCATTTTTATGCTGATTTCTAATTTATTTCTAATACATTTTCTGTCTGATCAACTTATTGACTTATTGACATTTTTATCAACTTCTAATTGTGAGATTTTTGCTGCAGAAACACTGAAATCAGACACTTAATTTTTGATTTAATATAAAAAATAAAAACTATGTAAGAAAATAAACAAAATAACTATGTCTGATTGATTAATTGATTGATTGGACATTTTACACCTCATGTATGTAAGTACCTCAAGTAAGTTAACTTTTTATTCAGTTTTTTTATAATGTTACAGGACTGAACTGTTAAAAAAGAGACTTTAAATAATATTAATTATTTACAGTGGATCTGATTCATGCTCAGTTAGGTTAGATTATTATATTTAACTCCTAGATATTTAATTAAAAACACACAAGTGATTGAACGTCCTCATGTTGAGGATTTGCTGACACCTGTTGACCTATTGCTGCATTTAACCTACATTAGTTTCACATTCAGGGACAAAACAGTGAAATTCCTGCTTTATGCTCACTATTAATATATGATACTTTATATTTCTGCTCAAAAACATCCCATTTATTTGCTATTTTTCAGATTACAGAAATATTTTACATTAAAAAACATAAAATAAAAGAAATGTTGTTGTTGTTGTAGAAAACATATAAAACACATAAATCCACATTATTCTTCCAAGCAGACTATTTTAATACGACATAACACATGAAAACAGTAAATGTATGTCCTTTTTCTGTGACCTCTTGGTACAATAACCTAAACATAAACCACCTGAACCACATTAAGGTTGCTGGGAAGGTGTCAGGCACAAGACCGGGTCCGTACTGGACTACACAAACCTCCACCTGCGCCTTGAGTGTGAACTGTTCCCTCAGGACATACATTCAGAGAACCAACAGACGTAAAAACTCCTATTGCACATTTCATTATTAGCATTGTTGTTGTTGTTGTGTTATTGTTTACTGTATATTGTATGTAAAGGAATCGTTTTTGTGTGTTTTGGTACTTTTGTTTTTGTCTGTATTTGTGTTTGTGCCCCTGACTGCAAGTAAAGTTAAAAAAAAAAGTTATAAAAAAATAAAGATTAGAGAAAATGACCCCCCAAAAATGTGTTTCAGATTGATTTTGCAGCTTTTACTAGTACTTTTAAGTGACATTAACTTAATTTTCTATCTTTATTTGTAAAAGAAAATACATAATAACACGACTTATTTAGGAATGTGTCTGTAACTTATAAAACTGAGCTAATGTCACTTAAAATTTCTACTAAAGCTAAAGCTGCTTTTGAACTTCAGTTTCAACCTTTTTTAGAGTTAAAATAACGGAATAATGACAGTGAAGGTAACTTCTATATGAAGTGGTTGAAACTGACTCCAGCTGCAGCAGTAAAATGCATTAAACAATCTAATAATATCAAATATACAAATACTGTCACAGGTTGATCAACAGTGTAAATTACAGACTGAATCAAACTCTTTCATTCATTGATATTTGTCTCCACCTAGTGGTTAAATCTGAGGACTGTTTTTTAAACAAAGTGAGTGTAACCACTGTGTTATGTTGATATTGTTGTGACTTTCTTATTATTTATGTTTAAAAATTATAATTAAAAGCTGAAACATCAACCATTTTCCTCCCCTTAAATGTGTTTTTCTTCTGAAATACAACCTTTAAACCTGTAACATAAAGTATGTGATCACACCAAATGTCAAAATCCGATTTGATAACAAAAATTAACTCACCAACAAAACTGTCTTTGTTTGAAACAACAAACAAAGACGGTTTTGGTGAGTTTTATTCTGTT